TGTTCAAGCCGTGAGAGACACAACAGATATCTGCTTTACATGCTGCTGCATATTTAAAAAGGACTTGCTGCTGTGATGGAATGATCAATATTGATTTGATGTTCATATCTACAGTGTAATCCACTGTGCTCTGCTATCATGAACTACTGTATCAATTAATTACTGAAACCATGAATGAACCCATTTCACCAGCAGCAATATTGCATTGTGGCTTTTAACTATAGCATGGTCAAATTAATTAGAGCGTATTAGAATAGGTTAAAGCTGAACTTAGCATGTTAATGTGCAACCCAGCGTTCAATTTCTTCTCAGACCTTTATGTATATTTGATTTCCATTGAATAGCTGAACAGCTGTCCTCACCATTGTTCAGGAACAAGTTTTGTATTTCAGTCTCAGGTTTAGAGATTGAAACACTGATGTGTTATTTCCTGTGTGTATAAGATTTCCCACCTGACACCAAAGTTTAATTTAGAGAAAGAGGGCGAATCTGCAAATCAGGAGAGGCTTTGCAGCTGAATCACAAACCTCTGGTGCCTTAGCTGTATTCACACTGTACCAGCGAGACAAGCAAAGGCAGAATTTTAAAAAAATAGTGTTTTTAGTGTGGGAGTACGTTAATTCAGGGCTGTCTGAGTAAAAATGATACAATGGTCTGGATAAAATCAACTATAGTTTTTTATTTATTTAGTGAATATTGTTTTCATTTTGAGCTGCATTTATCAACAGCTCCTTTGTGTTTTGTCTTTAATTTTTTTCAGTTTCCTATTACCTGGAGCTGTATTTTCTTGCTACAGGGAACAAAACTGTGTCTGGAAGCATGCATGTAACATGGGACAGTTGTTTTTAAAGTGTTTTGGGCAACTTTTTCTGTGTATACAAATTTAGCAAAGCAACATTCTTCATATTAAAAAGTGTGAGTCCATATAATCACCTTCTGTGTTGGATATTCACATCAGGCTTTACATGTCATTATGGGTGTATTTGACATGATAGTGCACCTTGAGTCAAATTCATTCATGTGGACAAGATTCTAACATTTACCAACATGTAGACAAAATACACACCGAACTCCGTCTGTCCCTGTGCTTGACAGAAGTTGCTTTCATGGCTAAGACCTGCCATTTACTATAAGCCTCCAATCTCCTGATAGCTTTTCCTCTTTTTCTTACTCTTTTCTTTTGTGCTTCTTGTCTTCTTCCTTGTCTTTTTAGAAAAACCCTCTTTGCATGACACAGTCACATCACTTCGAGATCATCAGAACGATGAGCTACCTCAGCTTTTCTCAGCAAAGCTTAGCTCAGGATACTTTCCTCTGTCAGCGTTTGGATTGTGCTCACTACTTTGGCATTCGGTCCTCACACCTTCTCTCACTTTTATCATGCTCTGTCCTTTCTTCTGGGGTGCTTCAACTTTTTCCTTTGTGCTTCTCTACACATGGATCCACATCGTCTGGTCTACCTCCCACCTGTCCGCCCCCTACTGTGTCTCCACCTGTATAGCCTACATAGAAGATATGCTGTTACTGCAGTTTTCCCACTATTTTCTGTTGTGTGTGTGTATGTATGTGATGATGTGTAATGACAGCATTTGACAGGTCTGAAAGCACAGCAGCATGAAAAAAAAAATCACTTTGAGGACAGATCTCATTTCAGCCTCATTACTTTTTACGAGTAAAACTGCTGCAAATCTCCTCAGTCTAACTGTTATTACATTACTTACATCATTAATGCCATCGTAAGGAATAACAGCAACACTAACATAAAAAAAATAAGTGCATAACACTTCAGGGCAAAACTCTCCTCGTTGCCCTGGTTTGTCCATGTGAAGGTTTTTTTGGTGCTCAGCCAATGAGGGAGCATCCTGAGCATGTCCCGCTGGTGCTATCCTGCTTCTGTGGGACAGGGGGGCTGGTATAGGGGTAGAGGTAGGAGGGTGATTGAGAACCTTAGTGTGCGAGTGTGTTTTCACGATACAGAGAGGGAGAGCACTGCAGCAATCTGAGAAAGTAGGTCAGACACCGACTAACGAGAAACATAGCAGAGGAGAAAAGAGGTAGGGAGAAGAGATGGAGAGTGGGTGTGTGTGTGTGTGTGTGGGGGGGGGCTGGAACAAGCCTGATTATCAAAATTGTCAAAGTATTTGAGATACAATGAGATAATCCTTAAAAAACATCATGTCTGATTCCAAATTTTCCCCTGCACCTTTACTGCTACTGAAAAGGAATTTCTTTACCAACCAACTAACATAACCATCACTGCTAATTTAACTACAAATGGAGACCAACACTTTACAACTTAAAACTGCAGATTGGACAATATACTACTGACTTTCCTGGAAGGTCACTTCTTTGGCTAATTGCTTGTCAGCTAATCTCCTCAATAAATACAGTGGCTCAGAGTCTTAAGACTGTTTCTGTCATGAAGGCACTTGGAGAAAATATGTGTAGGCTCTCATCCAATTTCCAATTCAAAGAAAAGCTGGGAAAGAGAAGTGAGACCTTTGAAGAAAAATAACTGAAACTGCTTCCCTCCATTTGCTTAGTTATAAGGCTGCCGTTTATAAGTATGTTGCTCTTGATATTACATAAGTGCATAATGTCGAAAATGCACGATGACACGCACAATGCACTGAGGGCACTCAGGCTTCTTATATATATGGGCTCCACTCAAGTATGAATTACCTTTCTATTTTGCTCTTCAGGCCATGTCTGTGTTTTATTATTTATTTGATAAAGCACAAAGTATACTGCATCTATAAATACACTGCAGGGCTTGTAGGAATGGACTGCAATAGGGAAAGATGTGTAGTAGCCATGCACACACTGGTGTTATCACGCTACTGTAATTGATTCAGTGACAACTGAATGGGCTACAGTAGAAAAATAAGCTTAGGGAACACATGGACAGTAAGCTTGCATATCACACATATGGCCAATGCAAAGAAAATTGCCTGTGAGTGATAAAAAAGCAAAAATAAACAAATTGAGAAAAGAACAGAGATCTCTGTGGTGGGACACTCTTATAACTTAGCTTATATTTGGTTTCCTGTCCAGGAAATATACCCCGAGGACAAAGTTTTAGAAGTGAACAAGCAAACGTGGAGCTGTAAGACATTGTAGTATACAGAGGATGCCACTTGTAGAAAGGGTACTAATACAATACTCCCAAGATGTGGAAGAAGACAGAGGCCAATAGAAACAGGGACTATGTGTTTCCTTGGTTACAATAACAAAGGTAATTCAGCAAAAGCAGCTTCAGCCTTATAGTTACAAACGTGCTTCATGTAAACCCTAAGGTACTTCTAAGACAAGGAACTTTTTTTTTTGAGACAAGATGATTATTTATATCCTCTTGTACGAACAGAGGGACCTATATTCTTAAAATTAGCCAGCAGGTTTTAGATGCAGCTAATCTTGCACAACTAGGAGATAGATGGACATCTTGTATAAGTGCAGTTAATCCATATTCAACCTTAGTTTCATGATTCTAAAACAAAAAAATCCAGGGACCAGGTAGAAAAACAAAAATCTAGAAAATCTTTTAATCTAATTTTAATCTAAGTCTAATTTGAACAGAAATGTCAAGTAGGCTAAATGATGTGATGATGAAGTGATCCCTAATTCTACCCGAAGCACCTGCAACTTACTGGGATCATCAATCAAGTGAAGGGGCAGGAGGTTTTTTCTCTGGGCTGCTGTTGTGGAATCTGCAAAAAAAATAATTAGCTTTATAAATATCAAAAATGAATATTTAAAAAATAATTTACACAAGTGTTCGTTTGCGGGGTCTGACATCATACTCTACATCTGTAAACTGCTGTATGTTTGCTGGAAAACTGCAGTTCACTTTAACAGTTGCACCAAACTTGTGTTTTGATACTTACAATGCAGAACACACAGTGAGTTGTGGGATTTATCACTTTTTTACTGGACTGTGGCATACAGATGATCAGTTATTTGTTGATCTTATCCTTATAGCCCTTTTTTCCTTTTCATCCCTCCATCTTATCCTGTGTCCTATCCAGCAGAGTACCACAAATAAGTTAGTAAAATCATTCTGTTCACTTTTGACCCATTTTTATCTTTTCTGTTTTGGATTTTCTTTTGCACCTTTTTCCCAATGTCTCATATGTTTTAGGAGGTCCTCTCAGACTCAGAAATCTGAGCCAGGGCTCTAAGGTTTTCGGTCAGACAATTTTCCTTGGTAGGGGTCAGGTTTCCGGCAACTGGGGCTAAAAGTGCTGTAGCCGAACCCAAAAGTGTGCAACCTGTTTATTTATTTGTTCTAAATGAATAGCCAATATTAGTATATAAATCTGAAACAAAACTTATGTTTAGAACAAAATATAGATCATAATAATATTAAATGACATTTTTAATATTAAACTCAAAGTACTAGTAATAATTTGATCAACTTGTAATTACTGTAAGTCATCATTTCCTTATGGCACACAATGTGACATGATACTGACAGCACATCTATTTTTATGGCTTCATTGTTCATCACAATCAATTATGACTGTCACATATCATTTGATCAGGCCTAATGAGTCTGATTATCCATGGACTTTGATCACAATGGGTCAAATTGTGCCAAGGTCCTTTTCAGGACAGGTCCACTTGCCCTCTAGTTTGTTACAAGGTTTTTTGTTTTTTTTGCATAACTACTTTATATGCATCATATTTGGTTAATTTCAGAATGGGTCCAACATTTTGGATCTGAAGACTAAACAGTAGGTTCTCGTACAATAGGCCAGTTTACATACATACTGTAGTATAGCATTTAGCACTTGTGTGTACTGGGGTTGCACATACACCAGTTGTTTTTCTCTGCTGTTGGCTTTAGGTTTCAAACTTCACCAATGCAGATTTTATTTATGCTTTTCTGTGTTCTCTTTGCCTTGCTGAATTTTATTGATTTGCAACTGACTCTTTCTCCTTCCCTTGCTTTCTTTTTCTGCTTTCTCTTCCTATCTTTTCTGTTTGCTGGTTTCTTCCAGTATGTGGCATTTGGCTCCCTATTCTTCATCCTCATCTCCATCTCCACTTTCTGCATGGAGACGCATGAGGCCTTCAACACCATCCTCAACAAGACAGAGATCGTCACGGTGGGCAACGTGACTCATGAGGAGATTGTATACGAGGTGGTGACTGACAGCTGGTTGACGTATGTGGAAGGTGTGTGCGTCATCTGGTTCACCATCGAGGTCCTGCTGCGAGTCACCTTCTGCCCAGACAAGTTGGAATTCTTCAAAAGCACCCTCAACATCATCGACTTTGTCGCCATCCTGCCCTTCTATCTGGAGGTGGGCCTGAGTGGTCTGTCCTCCAAAGCTGCCAAGGATGTCCTGGGGTTCCTCCGTGTTGTCCGATTTGTCCGTATCCTCCGAATCTTCAAGCTGACCCGCCACTTTGTGGGTCTCCGTGTCCTTGGCCACACCCTTCGTGCCAGCACCAATGAATTCCTCCTGCTCATCATCTTCTTAGCCCTTGGTGTCCTCATCTTTGCCACTATGATCTACTATGCTGAGCGAATTGGTGCCGATCCAGATGATCCAACAGCCAGTGCCCACACCAACTTCAAGAACATTCCCATAGGATTTTGGTGGGCCGTTGTGACCATGACCACGCTGGGCTATGGAGATATGTACCCGGAGACGTGGTCAGGGATGCTGGTGGGTGCGCTGTGTGCCTTGGCTGGTGTGCTGACCATTGCTATGCCTGTACCTGTAATTGTCAACAACTTCGGCATGTACTACTCTCTGGCCATGGCCAAACAAAAGCTGCCTAAAAAGAAGAACAAACATATCCCCCGAGCACCCCAACCAGGGTCCCCCAACTACTGCAAACCAGACGCCCTGGCTATGGCTACCGCATCACCGCAAAGGCTCTTGGGAAATGTCCTGGGTGGAGTGATGGGGTCTGGAGGCATAGGGGGTGACTGTCCTCTCGCTCAAGAAGAAATTATAGAGATTAACAGAGGTGAGAGATTTTTTCAAATAGTATCTTCTGACAGCCAAAAAAAAAAACAAAACACAGAAAAGTCTATTAGTGTCAAATTCAAGTGTCAAAAAGAGAGTATTGTATAATTCACAGTTTTACAATCAAAGTAAATTGGGTAAAACTGACCATGCTTTTGGGAAATTTGACAGTTGACTGATGGCAAGTTTAGGCATGCACAGTGATGATATCAGGGGTCCAGTGGAGGATTACCCCCAAATTCCACCGGGCACGGCAGCAACGCGTTCCACCACAGTCGCCAGAGCTGATTGCAGCTTTTCTAAGCAATTCTCTAAATTCCAGCATAGCCTCTCTCTACTCCGTGTAGAATACGGACAGAAGCCGCGACCCACTCACGTCAAGCAGCACAGAGCAGATTGCTCATATTGGTAAATTTTCTAAATAAAATACAGTGTGCAGACTCTGGTTTCACGCTAGCTCAACATTGCTGCATCAGACCAGAAGTCAAATAGACAGAGGCAGGTTAGAGGAGATTTTAAAACAGAAACATACCGATTTGTATCCCTTTTAAGGACAAAATACACGAGTAAACAAGGTATGGCAGGCAACATGCTCTGAGGATATTTCGCTTCTAAAATGCACTCGGTGGGATTTGAAGACGCGTCCACCACGGGGCCAAAATGCGTCACAGACGTTATAAAGCCGTGCCCGGTGGAATTTTAGGGTCAGAGTGCAAAGAAAAAGAAGTGGGAGTACTATGAAGAAGTGATGCATAGTTGATTCTGGATCCACCCCAGAGAAATCACTGCCCCATCAGAACTCATGTGTAATTTATGATCAACTGGTAGGTCCACAGTTGCCTCAAGGCACCCATCTGTCAGTGAAAAACAAACACCATGGAAGGAAAATGAACTTGATTATCTATTACAACAGCTTAATACATCAAAATTTTTGCTGACTCCACATATTTTCTCTCATTAGCGGTAAAATCAGGAGGAGAGGTAATTTGGCTCCTTGTTTGCTCTTAACATGCTGCAGGATGAGGCGTCAGTCACATGCAACAATAATGCACCTTTAATGCATTACTTTACTGCCTTAGTCATCAGTGAGCCGGAAAATATTGGTTTCATCAGTGCTTTCTCTACATCCTGTCTGCTTGGCTTTCTTCCAGTCTAAAAGGCTTGCTTGTAGGTTGTGTGAGTAGATCTTTTAACAGGAAGTTGTATTAGTCAAAATGTTGACAACTGGGTCCAAGACTACTCTGCAGTATCATCACCACATGCTCCAACACAACACAAAACCGCACACTGGCGTGGTAACACATTTTTACATAATGCCTCAATGAATGTGTGGGCGACTACTACAGCAGTCAGTCCGAAACTTTAATGAGCATTAGTTGCCACTCAACATATTTTACAGGGTAGTCCTTTCACTTTACCGTTTCACAACGTTCAGGCCTACTAGTGATAGCTTTCTTGATTGACAGATTTTGAGGATTTAAAAAATAAGTTACCAGAGCCTAAAGTGAATGCAACTTTTCACTTTAAAAAAAAGCAACAGTGATGTGAATTAGAAACAAGCAACATTTGGGAGCAAATATTTTGTAGTAGTTAGGTAGTTTTCCTAAAAAATTACCTAAAAACATTGTCACTGATGAAAATGTGCCGATCAATTAATCCTTTAATTGACAACTTTGAGCACTTGTAGTGACCTTAATTGCATTTAGCTATTTTACAGTATGATTATTTTGGTCGAGACAGACGACCACCCACCTAGAGCCGAGAATCTGTCCTAGGTTTCTGCCTTTTAACAGGCAGTTTTTCCTTGCCCTTGTCGCCAAGTGCTTGCTCATGGTGGTACTGTTGGGTCTCTGTAATTAATGTTTTAAGGAGTTCGGTCTAGACCTGCTCTATTTGAAAAGTGTCCTGAGATAACTTCTGTTATGAATTGGCGCTATACAAATAAAATTGAATTGAATTGAATTGAAATTGAAAATTATTTTCCAATACGAATCCTATTTGCTGTTATACTTTGGCAACTAATCTGCAATAGAAAAAATCTATTGCTCAATTTTCTCACACAAGTAGCACGCATAAAGTTCTTTTCGAGAAGAAAGACTCACAAGATGCTCTTCTCTATGCTTTTCCTTTAATTCTCCTGTATGTGGTCTTCCTCCTCACTTTGCCCCCACCATCCCTCTAGATTCCAAGCAGAATGGTGATGCAGCCTCGGCCGCCCTGGCTAATGAGGACTGCCCCACCATCGACCAGGTGCTGAGCCCCGATGAAAGGAGCCCTATTGGGCGAGGGCCTACCCGGGAACGCTACCAGCAGGACCGTGCCTGCTTCCTGCTCAACACCAGGGAATTCCGTGCCACAGATGGAAATGTGCGGAAAGGTACGTTTCACACCAGGAGACGGAAACATAAACATACACATTTTATGTAAACAGATCCACACAGCAAGATGCCAGGCATAACATTCTGTGAACATATATATTATATATGTGCAGTGTGCGGCCGATGCACACATAGGTTACTGTATAAGATCCGATTCAAACATTTAGGTAAGGTGGGTTGAATGAGAGAGCACACATGAAACTGACTTTAGAAGCCTCAACTACTGATTGAAGGCTCCAATTCCAGCTAGCAGCAAAACATGCACACATATACAGCCATACACTTACAACACATGCATATACACTTAGCTCTTCTGCTCTGCTCTATTTGTTTCCACCTCTTCACATTCATGTTCTCTGTGTTTCCATCACCGCTTGGTATCATGTTTTTATTTCTTCTGTCAGACAAGATTTTCTGTCCCTCTACTTCTCTCCCTTTTCTTCCTCTTCCTCTTCCATCTTTCCATGGTGTCTGTGAGTTTCGTTCTGTGCCCCATAATGTCATATTCATTCATGCTCATAAACGATCTAAATCTTTCTCTGTCTTCTGGACTCAGACAGTTGACCATGCATTAATTTACTTCTCGTCACTTCTGTTTCTCCCTCTCTCTCTCTCTCTTGCCTCGCATCTTCCTTTTTATTTTGCTCTACCCCCTCCCCCCTTCCCCCCCGTGATGATTTTCCCTCCCTAACCTGCCGCACATTTTCCCTCCTCCCCCCTTTTTTCTCCTCTGCCCCATTTTTAAACCCACGCCCTCATTTCCCCCCTTCTTTTCCTTTGTGCTTCACCGTAACCCTCCTCCCTTATTTACCCCATGTGCATTATCTTCGTGCTCATGAAAACCTGACACCTTAATTCATTTACTACTGCAATCCAACCACCACCACTGCCGCCAACCTGCACCAAAACACTCCCTTACACTCCCTCCAAACTTTCAACACCCCCTGTTGACAACAAACTAGAGGCAGCAGCCCTGGCACCCAGCCCAGACTCCCCTCTGACTGAGGATTGGTATAAGATGGAAGGGTCTCTGTTACAGCAGGACCTCAATGCAAACTCCACCTCATCCTGGATCAAACCATAGACCAGAGGTAACACTGACAAAAATTTTAAATAAAGGAGCCCATAGTGTAGTCAACTTTTGACTGAAAACATACAGAAATTTGGATTTGGCTCTCCATGACATAGCATGTTTTCTCGTAGCACAAATCACTACAATTAAACCAGTACAGCACCCACTTTAACACAGACACACCTGCACACACTATGCATGACTTCAAATCACATATACACCCCCATTTCCACAGTGTTGTGTATACATGTTCAATAGAGTTTGAAGTATCACCTGTGAGGAGTCTTCTCCGCGCCTGAAAGTGTGGAAGTATTACATTGAGAGATCAATGCAAACAGTTGAGCTAAGGTTAGGTAGTGCTTCAATCTGAATATTAAGGTTGGGGTGGCAAATGGCATTTTAGTGCTCAACTGATTTGTGAGGTATTTTATCCAATGAAACCTAACCTCAGCCCAATATCCTACCTGCATACAAATTAGCTTTATTCTAATTTTGTGAACTCTGCGACAATCTTAACGAACAATTTACAAGTAGTAAAAACTGAAAAAAAGGGATTGCACTGTGATATACACCCATAAGAAGTAGTGTGCACTAATGATGTGCATACTTGTATGTATGTGTATGTATGAGAGCTTAAAACACTCAGGAGTACAGGAGCGTGTCCGTGTGGGCGTGCACATGTGCAAATACATCCAGCAGCATCAAGTGAAAATAACCCAGTTGTCGTGTCCTGTGTCAATAACTAATAAAACCTACACTGAAGAAGATTGAATGGGAACAGCGGGTCACGTTGTTGTCTGATGTGCCTCTGTGTTGTTGTTGTCTCTCTCTTCAGGTTGTGTCATATCACGCGTGTGTATGTGGGCTTTTTCATTCTTACATGTTTTACACTGTGTCTCTGTCCTCTCAATGCCGTCTGAGTGTTGTGTTTGTGCTGTCGTGTGTGGCTTAATTTAGTTTTTCCCTTCTACTGTGTTTTTTCGTGTTACTCCCTACCCCACGGACCTCCACCTTGGCAAATAAAAGCACACACTGCAATTTAAAAAGGGTTTGCCTTGAAAAATGCACTCTTTTCTACAGTTGTATACAAATATTTATATATGTACATGTACTCATGCACAGGTTAAACTGACAGACTCTTCAGGAATTAACAAAAAAATGGAACCTATGCTAGAACACATTTCAGGCTCAAAGATGTGCACATGTACATATGCTGTATTTTATGTCAAATCAATTGGCCAGCCTTGATAGACAGTCATCACACTCATGTTTCCAAGGCCCAAGGTCAGTGGGGTCAGCGGAGCTATCTGGGTCAGGGGATAGTACCTCTTGAAACATGCCACGCTGAAACAAGCAAACATTTTAAACTGTTATTGTGCAATGTCTTATTTCAGCTTTATGAACAAAGCCAGTTATCACAATACTTACTTACAAAATACTGTGTTGTGAGCGTGTGATGGATCTGAAATACTACTCCCTAGACCATGTATTTGTGCTTTCAGTGCCTAGTGTAGTCCAAAGTTCAGGGCCTTCTGTATTTGTACTGTGGAGACCTGGATAGAAATCAAAACAATTATGAGCTGCACTCGGTGACTGAAACACTTACTGAGCAGACAGACATTCAAACGCTATGACAGATTTGATTGAAAAGTGGCTACATGCTGTCTAAGGTAAGCAAGCCTTAAGCTGTCCAAGCCCTTCACTTACAGGTCCTTGACATTGCTTCAGTTTCAATGGTTCTTATGTATAAACTGCTATTTAAGTGCTATAAAATTCCCTCTTTAAAGCAAATCAGGAGTCCGTTGAAAAAGTGCTCTAGGAGGACCCTAAGGATTGGGATCTATAATGGTCCCTCTTTCTTACTTAGTCTGTATTAATATGCTGAACCTTGTGTACTTGAGAAATAGATTGTACTTCTTTTCAGTTAACACCAGAAAAATTTGATCTGCTTCTTGCTATCTCTTGAAGCATTTGATTGCCCTGTGAGAGACCACCTCTCGCCCAGTGAATGTGTAAATACATATATGGCTACAAATCTGTGATTTAGGGGAAGATAAACAGTACTGAATAGGAAGAAAATGAGCAAAAACAAACACTGGGTTTATGTTAGTTAATCCTTGTTCTCCGCCGATAACAAACGTTCTCCTTCTTGTTTTTAAAGAGGGATTCTCATGCTGTGTAAAACTCCTTCTTGTGTGCTTCAGTTGTGATTTATTTTGTAGCTACACGCGTAAGATGTCTTTGCCAACTTATTTTTATTAGCTTTTCAGTTTCCTCTCTTTGATTGTTGGCCATTTAACTTCCAAAGCACCCAATGCAATATGCATGTCTCACCAAGGTCAAATGGTCAATCACCTCTTTGATTGCCCACTCCCAATCACTCCTCTAGACCTTCGAGGGTCTCGTTTGTTTCTGTCTCTCTCTCTTTGCCTCGCTCCACTCTCTCTTGTTTCAGTTCCTGACTATATGTGTACAAGTAGTTTTTTTAATTTTATTTCTTGGGTTTTTGTTCTTATTTATGTCCTGTATTCCTGATTTAGTGTGTAAATCTTTCATTTAGGTATTTTTGTGGAGTATTATGTAGTGATTTGGTATCAATCTGTGTTCAAAGTGTTTGACTGTGAATGCTTTTTGTTATGTAGTTAGGATTAAGTTATATTTATTTTGAATTAACATGTTTTGCTGTTGTCTGTGGTTCTGGTCTGTTTGTTTTCAATGTATTTAAGTTTTGTACAATTGTGTTTGGTTGTTTGATGTTTTGACTTCCCCTCTGTTCTTCCTGTGTTCTCCTTTGAGTTTTTACATCACTTACCTGTCTTCTATTAATTTGACAGGGAAATTGGCATAAAAATGGCCCAAATCTCACTGGTTCAGGACATTCTCAAGGACTTACTTGGCAAAAAAGGCTCATTATTCATTACCAAATTCAACCAAAACCATAGTATCAACATTTGAATGCATTTTGGACCCAGGGATTATATATTTTTCTTAACTCCCACCACTTGTAAAATCGACAAAAATTCTGCATTGCAATTTCATACAATATTTAGATTTAACAAATACTATACATCAGACAGAATGTGTATATATTTAAAACAGGCTGTTGCATCCACATTTCATTCCATCCTTATTTACCTTAGCGTTTACTATTCTTTAAATTGTACTATTGTTTCGGATGTATTGTTTCTTGAATTATTTTTCAAGACCAAAGTAGGTTTTAATATTCTTCCTGACCACCACAACATTGTGTTGTTTTTGCCTGTGCTCACGCAAATGTTTTTGCCACGGCTAATTTCTTTTGGCTCAATACAACAGGCAACAACCAAATAAAACATACTAACTCTAAATTCAAATTCAGAAAGCTTTCTTGTATAAAATAATTTGTGTGAAAACGTGTTTGATGTGCTAACACTTGTCAGTGTCCCCGTTTTTTGTCATTTTACTCTTGTAGTCATAAACAGCGTGATAAACCTGTTCTACATTGTCATGCATGTTCTACGTGTGTAACAATACCACTGTGTTTCTTACTATCTTGCCTCATCACAACTCTGCAAATATTCTTTTGTCTGATCCAGATTTTTGGCTTATAAAAGAAACAATATAGATGTGCAGGATGTTTGTATGTATGTACACACGATAAATATTTATGGTTATGTATGAGTATATATATAAAATATTAAATTGATTTGAACTTTAATGAAAACAGCTGACACATATGGGTCTGTATGACCTACATACAGCTAACAACAGGATGTAGGATACAGTTTCATTTCATCTCGTTTTCCCAAAAGACACCCCAGGTACTGTATGTACTGTATGGACACATTGTGGCTTCAGTAACTGTCATAAAGGGATCAATGCATCTAATTATTTGTAACAGGAGATCTTACCATCTTTAACAGGCAATTGATCCCATGTAAGCATGATACAGTATGTGGCAATGCCAAGAATAGAATCCCAAGGATCAGCAAACCCTGTGTATCGACAGCCAGCAAGCACAACATTATAGGACATATGTGGACTAGGTTATAGAGGCAGTCTTGTTCTCTGCCTTCTTAATACATACATACATTCATACAAACATACATACAAAAATGATTAAGTCTATTATTCTGGTTCAATCTGTTTAATTTTACATGTTCATTACCTTGGTAAACAGTCTGGTCAGAATATTTGCAGTTTTTCCTCTCTCTGTTCCTCTGTGTCCTACCTCTCCATAACCACCTCCTCCTGTGATTAACACTCATTCTCCATCCCATCCCCAGGCCGCCACTGCAGTGCAAGTGTAACTAAACTCTGACTGTAGGTAGGTACGCACTCCCTCCTCAGTGTAAATTAAGTGTGACTTTGGAAAGGAATTATGTCATCACTGAACACAGTGACAGCCAGACTCATCATTTCCCCTGATAGACAATCCCAGAGCACAAAACCCCTGTTGATGTTGTAAATACAGTACTTAACACAGTGAGGTAGCCAGCAGACCGTGACAGACTGCAGTGGCTGAGACATGATTAACTTTATAAGTTAATTTCTGACACCTTTCCTTGTCTTGACATTAACCAAGCAGTACTTTCAAACATCAGCAAAAGCAGATAATGTACCGATCAGCTTTTGGTTGCAAAGCAGCCAGCCAAACCGGTCATTAACATATATCACCAGAACCACGAAACTGTCCGTTCTACATTCTTATTCATCAGTTTCACCTTCATCTAATCAACAGATGGGGACCCTTTTTTTCCTTTTATGCATATTTTACTCATATCACACTTGACAAGTGTTTTAAATTCTCTGATTTCAGACTGAAAACAGCCAAATAAGGACATTTGTTCCAAGAAACAGAGCCTATACTTTTAGTATTAGTTTGGGTGAAGGTTATAACATATATATATATATTTTTTTAATCACGTGAGCAGTGTGTGTTCTTCCTCTCATTCGTTCCCTCTCCTCTCTGCATGCTGATTTTTGCTTAGCGCCAAGAATAGATCAAAAGGAATTTCTCAGAAGAATCAAAACCTTTTGTTGTAACTTCATATACGGGCTTCCCAACACCCAAGTAAAGCAGTTACTTAATATTTAACTTAATACAACTTGTAGCATAATATACGCAGATTAAAAAACTCTCAGTTTACTACTACACAGTAAATCTCTTTTTATACCCTTTGTATATATACAATAACAGCAGAAACAAGATGTTAGAACTATCTATTTTATAAAAGCTGTAGCACTCAAAACTAGCAATTTGATTTATGTTCGTTGCACGATCAGTAAAACTGAACTTAGATAGGTATTGTTCATTTGGCGACACCTGTGCTTACCTTGATTAGCAGTTGTAAACATGCAGCCCATTGCTGAAATGCGACCACCGTCTTGTTCTGTAGAGACATATTTCTGATGAATCATCGCAATTAGCACTAATGCTATTAACACTATAAAAAGCAGCATTAGATGTTCAGTTTGCGGTAACTTAATTTAATGTGTTAACGTAACAGTGAGGCTGTTATATATTAGATCAAATTTAGCTGGAATTACGTGCATTCATCATTTCCTGTGAATTCGTCATGCGCTTGAATGCAGTGTGAATACAGCATGGTAATTGTCAGTCTGCCACTAACAATAAAAACTACTATATGCTACTATAAATAGAGAGAGGTAATTACTGAATGTAAATACAGCTGTTGAACAAAATAGTATCAAAAACAGTGTTTGGTTTCAGGAAAAGCATAAAGATTATAACAAGTGGTTCAGTTAGGTCAGGTGAAGGGTTTATCAGATATGATGATGAAAATTTAAGATGTATGATAGCCTTGTCTTGCTTTAAGAGAATATTTGTCTGCACTCAGTAGCAAGCATTGTTGTAGTTCTTCACTACGTTTTACTCGTCCCTCCTGTTGTTGTCCCTCAACTCTGATTCAGCAAACATGACAAATCTGGCTGCCATTTGATGCAACTTGACAGTTTGTCTTGATACATTTGTGTGGTCTGAACAAAACGCTCGTTGAACTGAACTTGAGAATGAAGCGGTACCACAGATTGGCCAGACAGCTTCTCAAACATCTTTGTGTGCGATGAAGCCCAATGAAGAAACCCAGTGAAAATGCATCATCAATATTTTACTCAGTTGCTATCCGACTAATGTGCCCCAGCGTGTCAGAATAAAAAAAGGATCTATTTATGGTTGGCTCGAATAATCCAGAGTGGTGGAGTATTGCCCTATTTTTCCATTTTAGCAGGAAGGCACAAAGGGCGTCATACTGTACCAATGGGTGTTCTTTGTTGTTGGCCTTGTGATGGTTGGAGTTTGACAAAAATATACACCATAACTTGGTAATTTTGTCACCAACACTGTTAGCATTACAGTTTTATTAAATAGCCTTAAAATTTAATTTCAGCTAATGTAACACATCCCTAAAAAAACTGTAAAACTCCACCCATTATGGGTCAATTTGCCATTGTTAGGGTAGATCAACTGCTACCTACCAATGGTGTTTTTCACTTCACCTGACGCAACAACACCCTGTCAGCACAGCACTACCTTTTCTGTCTGTGGCTGCTTCCCACAGGGGGAATTCAACGTCTGCATGCTGTGTTACAAACCAGAAATACAGCGGGAAAGGACACAATGGCCACTCTGTTTATTCTTAAGTAACTTGGTTATTGTAAACATACCTTCAGCAGTGCACGTACCATGCATTATACTTCAAAGTCACTTGTATTAGTCGACCTAGTCAGAAAAATCACGCTTTCTTACCGTGTGTCATTTCCCACTGTAAAAAAAATGTGAACTGAGCTCCATTACAGGATGCGATTACCGGGGGATAGGAAGTGTTTTTAAATGTTGCTGGGAGACATTTTTGTGTTGGCCATTTGAAGTTTACAGGAACCAAAAGCCAATACTAATTGGCCTATCTTTGAAGCGTAATGCAAGGCAATTGATTATTCTTCATTAGTGGTACATCGGTAAGCCTTTTCACCCAAAACTTCATGTGGTCAACTCTTACACTGTATCAGTGATATCTGAGTATTTGCTACTGTGTATTTGTGTAAAACTGTACAGTTTTGGCCAAATAGTTGTCTAAAACACCTGAACATTGCACATTATGCTTCACATGCTTTATTCAACGGGCCATACTATAGGTGTTAAATTTCTTGATATTTAAGAATCTTTTGCTTTTCTGTTTTGAAAAAAAAAGACATATCATAACTCGCATTTTCTTGTTTTGTCTTGTCTTGTCTGTCTTGTCTGTGTCTGTCCTTGTCTGTCCTTTATATGTCTTTATGATTTAATAACTTTTTCAATTTCTTATCCTTAATTTATTCTCTTTTCATTTTGATTTCCTCTTATAACATCTTGAATGTCATGTTCATGCTTCCACACTATGTAACCATCATAATAAACCACCTGGATATGGAAAACATGCTCAAAACATTTCAACTATGATTTCCTTTTATTTTATTTGCATAATACCAAAACAATAACACGTTATATAATCCAATGAATCGACCAATGGTTAAAATTTTTTTCTTAAAGCAACAGGCTATGAGAAATCTCGCAGTCTCAATAACATATCGGGAATGGCTGGGTCATCACTGCGGCTTGCTCCTATCACTAGCCCACCCTTTGAAACCTATGAGGCCCCAGGACCACTGCGTCGCTGTCGTTCCCCCATCCCCTCCATTTTGTAGCAGAAAGGATGTTCATTATTGGATGATAAGAGATGCAGTGGATTAGCTATGGACTGATTGCACTGAAGCCTCCATTTGGATTGTACACCGAGCAAAAACAATAGCAATAACATAAAATGAACTTGAATGTAGAAAGAATGACCTCTCGTCTTGTGAATCTAATTGTTTATGATGCATGCATCAGGTTAGCTGATGGGGTCAAATACAAATTTTAGCTTTAAAAATACACTGTTATTTTAAATTGTTAGAATAAATGTAAAATTAATATTTGGATTGGTTAGTAAATAAAATAGTGTCAGAGGTTAAAAAACATCATGAAAACATGTGCACAGTTACATTTTAAAACTTAGAATTAAGTGTGTTGATGTATATCCATTTTTAAGTATTCTGGACCAAACAAGACTGAGCTGACAACACTGTCCAGAAAAATGACCATGAAACAAGATATTTCAGTTCATTTAGCCAAAGACAAAAATACATTTATAGATTATATTGATGGTGAATAGGTTTCTACTTTCTGTCTTTTGTCAATATTGATGTATGTACAGTGTAGGCATCATTTTGGTAATTCTTTCTCTCTCTCAAAAAAAAAAAAAAACAGACTCGGCTTCTTTAAGTCTCAGTGTTAACACTTAATTTTATATCTTACCATTGTGACATAATTGGACACTTTATGTTAATAGTTTATACAGCAAAGCCAAGCGATGTCAAAAGTTGCAAAAAACTAAACAAAAACCTTAGCTTAAATGAAAAAATATTAAATAAATGAAAAGTATTGTACCATAAGAGCTATCTCAACTGTGCACCCTAACATGACTTTTAAAAATTGTAGTTTGTTTTATTACATTGCTCTAAGGATCCCATATATGCAATTACTACCTTACAGTGTACAGTTAAAGGTCTATTCAGTCACTTTCTTTGGCAGTTACAAGCATGTTGTCAAATACATTTATATATATATATATATTTATCTTTATCATCTTATATGCAATTATAACAATCATAATGGGCAGGATGTGTTAGCTGGAGTTAGTTGGAAACCGTGTCATGAAGGGGCCATTGCAATGTGTAAGAAGACCGAGAACGCCGGTGGGTGCAGAGTAACTAAAGCATTCACAGTATTCACAGTCAGCTGATTGACAGTAAGCTGATGTTTTTTGTCAACATCCTTGCTTGCTTATTGTTTGTCTTTGTGCATTAGTTTTCTAACAAAATAGCTAGATAGCTGATTGTTAGAAACATCGAATGGCCTAACGTCATAAAATGTTGGTAATTTGGCACGTTTTAAGCATTTGACACTGGCGGAAGTGATATCCTTGGTTGTTAACATTGTTAGGTCAGCCAAGGATCTTACGAGCAGAGCTACATGCTCGCTAAATGCTAACTGTGTTCTGCTTCTCGAACAGTCTTTGGTAAAGGAGCACAATTTAGCTTTCAATTAATAATTTGTGTTGGATGATAGTAATCGACTGAGTGGACCTTTAAAAAACATGCGTATCAGGACAGTTATGTAATATGAATATGTACTTGTAATGTAGGCCTACAACTTTTTCAAAGAAATCTAAATGAAATGTATTTAGAAAGTTGCTTAAAATGACTATAAACTAAGAACAACAAATGTACCCACAAAGTCAGATATGGATGACTACATAATTAATTATATAATTAAAACAAATGCACTTTACTAACAGTCAATGTTAATTTACTAACTGTAAATCTTGCATGTTGTCATAAGACACCATAGACTATATTACAACAAGTTAATAGACTGAACATGAGACCCCCTGTCAAACAAGGATGTTCAGCTTTTCTGATCTGTTTTGCTTCTTCTTCACTTTTGATATATTTTTTACATATTTTTTCCATCATTCTTTGGTTTTTGGTTCAAATGTTTGTCTAAGACTTTAAACTTTTAAAAAAAATGCAAGATAAAATCACCAAATGCAATCTGTTGGCAAATCTTTGAAAAAATATGCCAGTCGCATACAATATACTCTTCGCCTCAATAATGGAAAATAAGCTATCTGTTTTACGCAATTTATTGCTTTTATTTTTGTAACTTAGATCCTCAGTTTGCCATCCTCACAAGAATATCGTTTTTCCGTTTAAAAGTTGAGCAAAAAAGATTTTAAAAATATTGACACATTCACATATGCAATAAAGATGCAATATTATTTTAATGCTGGAAAACATGCTGTGCACATACATATGTAAATATGCAGATCTATTTTTAATCTTAAAATGCACAGACTTGGTAGGCAGTCTACTTATTATGTTTGGTTAAGAAGTGTACAAAAGTATTACAATGAGCCATTTGTCTTGTTTTATTTCAAGTCAATGTGGTCTTACTGGTCCTTAAACTTTTTGATGTTGTGACTGCCATTTTTAATTGTTTTCGTTTTGTAATAGTTTTATATTTTCTTTATGTGTACTGGTAATGTGTATTTCACTGTTAGGAATGACTTTTCTGTACCACTGATTGTCTAAAATAACATTTGTCAAAAAAGATACAATGTTGTATTTAACTGTCCTTAAGTTCATTAACAAACAGAAATGTAGTAAGACTGAAATCACCAGGAAAAACTGTAAGTGCTTTAGAACCAACAATTTTTTGCAGGTGTAAAAAGGAGAGGATTTCCATACTCGTTTAAAAAAATGTCAGGTCCTGATTTTCTTACTGTCATAATCTTTTGTCTAAAAATCGACGTGCTTCCAGACCCCTAATCTTCGAGAACGTAGATATGCAGTATTGGGATTGAAGATGAAAGCTCACTTGAATGTTTGCTTGATTCTGCTGTCAACTGGAGTTTGAGAGGTTTGTGAAAGTTGTCTCATTTAGGATAGATCCTACCATATAGTCACTGCAAGAATGCTTGCCTGGCTTCATCTGATACGGGTTTCTGAAGGCCATCACACATATTCTCTGATCGAAGTTGCTACTAGTCATGCTTATAGTCAATATTGTGACATTTCACCATTATGATGTCAAAAAAAATACAATAATTTAGTGTTGTCTGAAGATATTTGAAAGAGCATGCAGAGCTTTGTTTCTCCAGTGAATCCAAAGACAGCAGCTCCTTAATTTATAATGTCAGCTTGAACTTAGGAAAAAGGCAGGGAAACTCTGGGATAGTACGTTTGTAACTAGCAGAAAAACGTGTGAGAACGTGTACAATGTCACACATTGATTGGCCTGAGTTCAAACCTCAAAGCTAATCTTAGTCCTCATCAGCAAACTTGAATATCGGTTTGTAACTTTTGTGAGCATCACTTCTCAGCGCACAAAACCTCATTAAATCTTTTAAGCGCACATGCATACTGTGTAATCTTAAAATGACTCCACAATGTGGATGTTACAATTTGCAGATACTTTGAATTATACTGGTGTGCCACTTTATTTTGAATGTACATTTTCGGTTACAGTCAAGCAAAACGTCCATCCGTCCTATATATCTGCAGCGGAATGTTTTTCTTTAATGCTACACTTGAATGACAACGGGTGTGAGGGATAACATAATCTCAAACACCACCACTTTTATTTGAACATTTATGATTATAGAGATAGTGTATTTACTTATTTTCGCTTTGTACTGTAATCAAAATTGATCTGAGGAATGTCATAACTCTGGTTCTGTTTAGTTTTATGAGTCATATCACATAGCCAATGCAAATCACCTAGGACACTCTGATGTAAACATTGTTTAAGTAAACAAAACAGGCAGATGTTGTAAGTGCCTCTATGAGGCCCCAGTAGGCTCTGATGTCACTTTAGGAGTTCATGAAAACTAGCTAGATTTAACTAGCTAAGCAAAGCTTAATAGGTCAGTGGTTATTATTGAATATGTACATATCTGTATCTACACATGTGAATACATTAAAGTCATATGAAATTACTATATCTATGTATGCTTTGTGAGTGTGGGTCAGGGAGTTTCATAAGAACAGATTCTAACAGAATTGAATAATTGAATATGTATGTCATCAGAATGGTTTATGGTTGTATCCTGTAAACTGCTCAGTTCAGTGCCAAGCTAACCTAACCACACCCTTTAGTGACAGAACCTGGCTTTCTGGTTATTATTATATTATGGTAATTAATTTCTTAAATGAATTAAGCTGTAATGACAAAGGAAAATTCTGAGTGTGTTCTCAGTTCTGCATTGTTTCCTTTTACAATAGCTGGTCCTACATGGGGTGAATGCACTGTATTCTATTAATTATAAATGTACTTTAAATGTAAATATTTTAATAGTTGTTGCTAATGTACCCTGAAAAGCATGTCTAGTACACGTGCAGCTTTTATAAAAATGTTGAGACTTGCAGAGACTGCCTTACTTTTATATTAGAGGAGTTAGTTCTGTAGGTACAGTCGTAAGAAGGGACGAAAAATGCTCTTTGATCAACTTTGAATTGCAATGAGAAGATTGACACCAGTTAAACATCTTTTTTAATATGGTTTATTAAATGGTGTTGCATTAAGAAGATAGTTAGCCTAGCTTGTAATGTCCACTAATTGAGTATCATATATTTACCATTGAATGTAGAAAACTAATAAAAAGCTTGGCACACTGAGGTAAAGCAGCTATCAACCCTCTTGTAGCAAAATTAATTCATCAAAGTTAAATTTTATTGCTGTTAGAATAACTGTACCGCAGTGTAAACGTATGGGGGGATGGCGGAATAAGAATAATGTGCATTTTATCTTAACTTTGACCTACTATTATCATCAATCAAAAAGCTGTTATGATCTCCAATGTGGCTGTATGTAACAAACGCTCCTTTGGCACTGTTTCAGGATGTTACTGGTGGTAGAAGAAAGGCAATGACAGAAAAGTCTGGTTTATGTTCAAACAAACAGTGGTGTGTTCGTATCCAATAATGGATAATATCTTCAGACATGTGTGCATGTGCCCTTAATTGTAACACAAACGCCTATACAGAAATTTATAGATCGTGAAATAGGACTCTGTTAACTTATTTCTGATTTTGTGCAGACATATTTGGAAAATTACAGATTTACGCATCTGGCACCATCAACTATCTTCTCTTTAGAAAATATGGACTGTGTCTTGATAACAGCTTTTCTCTGGAGAAAACCGCAACTGTAAAGTGGAAATTGACAGAGGAAGAGGGGGAAAGAAGAGCAGACGGGAAGAGCTAATGTGGCTGCAATAAAGGATACTGTTTGTACTGGATTGATGTTTGCTGGTGAGACCACAACAGAAGTGTTTAATCTCCCAGTAAATAATGTGTGATGCCAGCACATGTGATACAAGAACTGTTTGCCATAACTGTAGGCAAAAGAATGAAAAATGCTCAACCTACCGTTGGCAAGCATTTTCTTGAGTTTGAACCTGTGTTTGTATGACGCATAGCACAAGTTGGGGGTTAAGCCTCCTGAAATGGTATCAGCCCAATGTGTAATTCCACAACTTGCTTCACCAAGTACAAAAATTCCTCTTTAAATGTGAAAACATCCATGAGTAGTATTGAGTATGTTCGTATGTGGCCATCTGTCAATAATGTGTTTTCCCATGAAGTGTACATATCATTCAAATGAAAATGTTTGCACACACGTACATATTCACACACTCTCTCTCACACACACACACACACACACACACACACACACACACACACACACACACACATATTATTATATACATATTAGTTAATAACTTGTCATGATCTCCCTTTCACCTAATATTGTTCACTTTGAAATGCTTTGTACATACGTCACTCCTGTAAAGATAATTGCTATATTTGTTGAGATTTGGCAGAGTGGAGAGTGTGGTGCCGGTCAGTTGGCTGGCAGCTTGTTTCATTCAGTCTATTGTTTGTTTTTCTAATATTGTTGTCAGCCACCAGTTTTTATTGTCACCATTTCTTGATTTTGTTGTTCAAGAATAACTTGTGTGCCAACTTTCTGTCTGTGTGTTGGAGATAGACTGTTTTTGTAGCTGTGATAGAGTTGTCATTACAGTTTAAATTTGTGCACTTCATTCTGACATGCACAGTTAACCAGCAGTTTACAGGTAATGGTAATCCCTGATTACTTCCCTATTGTACATAATGTTAGTAACACTATGAAACTGTGTTATGGAAATCCATGTAATTGGCAAATTGCAAATATGAGAACAATTAAAATCTTCAATTTAAGACCAATATTGGTTTATATTAGTCAAGCACTTCTATAAACCAATCTAGATACAAAGTGCTTACTCGTAATGTTACAAGTTAGGTTTCAATTTCACTGAGCATGACTTTTTTGTACAAAATATGTTTATCCTCTGTGAACGTAATATTAATGGGTTTCTGTTCTTGTCTTCACAGTGTTAAGTTTCTAGCATTCGCCTTCTCTCTAATGAGGAGTCAGTAAGCGGTTAACACAAATTTGCGGCAGGAGCCACGTACGCGACAGGTGTGACACGGATGGACAGTTTAAAGGAGATCTTTGGGGTGACAAGAGAGAAAGACCAGAGGTTAATCATGAATTAAAAAAATCTTATGGTCTGCTCCTTCACGTTGTTACCAAAGCAGCCTCTTGGAACTCCGACCACATTTTTGACAACCGACTGACCTTTTTTTTCCCCCTTTTTTTTCGGCAAACTGACTGAGCATTGCACAGTTTGGGAGAGAAAAGGACTCCTGATGACACATTCCAGATGACACATCTCTGACAACAACATTATACTCGCCATCTTGTATGATGACCAACAAAGTACCATCTGCAGTGCTGAACAACTGAGCAACTTCACAAGTTTCCGAAAAACACTTGTCTTCACAAAGGACTGAATGAACAATGTAGCATCTCTGCTAACATATTGTAGCATTTGTTGGCTGGGAAATAACTTTACTCAATCCATTCAACAGTTTGAAGTGAGAGGAATTTATGCATTCAAAGGATCTTTTAGATGTCATTTTCCTCTTGGGTTTCTTACAAGTGAAGAAGAAAATATATATATATATATGTAGAAAGAGTACATGAGAGACGAAGGATTGGTCTTACTCATTAAAACACTTGACATTCCAAAAAAAGATGCACTAAATACAAACAGTGCAGATGAAAAACAATCACAAATGCACAGTATTTTTAATGACACCCATATTATAGTCCCTCATTCAAGTTTAGCACTTGTATAGCATGTTTGCCACTGAACCTATGTCTTCCATTCACTTCTATCAGACTGAAACACTGCCCTCTTACTGAGATAATCAAAAAAAGCACTAATTATGAAGTTGAACAAATGAAGCACATGTAGCATCAGCTCACCGATCGTGTATAGCATTTACTGTACATTTACACTCACCTGAAACATTCACCATAAGAAAATGGTGGGAAAAGACTTATCTTTATCTCTCATGTACAATGGGCTTGCCCAGAAATCCACGTGGGATACCAAAGGTCCTGTAGCATGCACTTGCTGAATGACCTTCTGTAATGTACAGTAGATTGGGCGAACTATTCCATTTAGGATAAGGTTTTTACTCACCCTCATACTGGCTGTTGCCTCTGTTTGGTACAAAGTTCCTCTTAAAGAGCTCAGTCCTTTAACTGCCACTATCATCTCATTCCTATATGCACATTTAAATATTACAAGTATTTTTCCCATGTCTGATTGACACAGTGCTCAGTCATGAGGAGCAAAAAGACTGACTAAAAGAGACAAAAAAAGAAAAGTTGTCAGCCTTTCTTCAATATCGAGGGATATTGGCCTGCCTAAATTACAACGAAAACAACATTCCTACCACAAGAACACTTTTTATGTCGCATAAAAACTATCCATTAGCTGGAAATTCTGTGCTATCATTTTGAAAGGGACCAATAAGATAAATGTTGCCCCTAACACAAAGGCTGACACTGCCAATTAGGCACAAGAATTCCCAGATGAATACTGCCCCATCTCTCTCTTGTCCCTCTTGCTGCCAACGACTGCTTCACAGGCAAGTCAATGTCAAGATAAGGATGGCCCATCAGGGGAGCCTTAGGCAAAGGGGAAAATGAGAAGAAATGGACCAAGAGTAGAGCAAGTGTGGAAGTGTACAAAGAGAACAAATCTATATTTTGATAAACAAATCAACTATCCATGGCTTCGGAGGAAGTTTATGTGCAGAAAAGGTCCAGAATGGAAGAAAGAAAGAAAGAAAAAAAAAAAATCAGATGCAAATGTTAATAGAAAATTTGGCATCATGAAATGAAGTCAAAGTCCTGGAAAAAGATGGGAAGTGGAAATTTTGTCATGGGGGGTGGGCGAAGTTGTGTTCCCCACAAGCACCAGGAAAATGTTTGTTTTTTTTGAAGAACAATGAGCAATGACATACTCTTGCCTATAAAGACACGGCGATGACAAAGGATGGACGCTGAGATAAACAAATGAAAAAAAAAAAAAAAAAGATAATGCATTTTTGTAACTTTGTTTACCAGCATGAATACTTTGCATGACTGTCTTTTCTGCAAGCCCTTAGTTGAAGACAAGGGTGCTAGAGATACAAAAAAGTATATATAAAATGAATTAAAAAAATGTTATATGCAATTAATGTTTTAAAAAAGATTATAATGAAAGAGAAGAGCTATATTTTGTTTTGAAAAGTAAAAAAATGTGAATATTGAAACATGTATGTTTGCAAAGTACACCCTGAACTATGTTTTGTTTGATGAAATCTCTCTGCTACTACTGCCCTACATTCCTCATTCCAGTGTTTTCAACCTCTGTCATAGTTTTACTTTGCTATGCATTGAGCAGTATATTTTCTAACCATTCAATCCACAGCGACCATTCAAAACTTTGCCAAACTATAGCATTTGAGCAAAGGATGTTGTTAAAAATCTATGTTTTCCTCATTTAATCACTTGCACAACTACCGTAGCAGCAGCAACAACAGCAGCAACAATTCTAAAACTACAGCTCTCCATATCACAACTTTGACTGCTTGATTAGTACTCATAGTTTGCTTTTTTTCTTTGGCAATAATACAAGAGTTGTCACATGATTGTAGCAGGGCAAACGGAGAATCTCGAGAGTATCAGTAACGCCTCAGTGTTAAAGAGATTCGTAATGGCCTTGGATGTCCCGTGGCAGGATTTTTCTGGGATAGGCAGTTCTGTTCCACTAGTCCTAAATAGAAATATGGGAGTACAAGTGCAGGTTATCCAATAAAGACCAATAACAGACTATGAAATATACTATATAGGCGAACAATCAAGAGAGATTTCAGGTTTGCATGGAACCAACTGCCATTCCAAAGTTTGTGTGTGGTTTAAAGGACTCAGGTGTGTTGATGGTGTGTGTGGATGTAGGTGTTTTGCTATCTTCTTTCTAACATAATAAATTCTAGTATATAGACAACGATAATGTGAACACCTCACAGTGACGTGTAAAAAACGCATGCATTATGACTTGATAATCTCTCGAGGGGGAACAGAGTCTTGACATATCCCCTTAGCCTCCTATCATTGTTTGTCATGAATCCAGTCTTGATAACTATGAACACTGTGCCGTGTCGTAGAGCAGAAACGTCTTCCTCCGAGAGGCAACTGAAAACTACTCACACTCACAGTGTCAGCATGAGTGTGTAGAGGTAGCTCGTCTTCGTTTTTTAGATGGTCAGGTCTTTGCATCCGTCATTACCCATGGAGTTGCCGTCATCCAGCTGGCTAGTTGGCAGCTCATTACAGCACACAACACAGTCATGTGAGCACCAATCAAAGAGACCCAGAGCTTCCAAAATGATGTCAGTGAAGTACTTTATGTGTTGTGAGAAAGAGAGGATGAGAATTACCAGTGTCCACAGGGGGGATTGACATAAAACAATAGTCTTGCTAAAAAAAGCATCTCATTGTTGAGTGCTCTCCAAGCACCTCAACCTTGGTTTGGTATTCAAAGTGAGTTTCAGGCCCTGCTGGTCCAGGGCTCAGCTCAGGCAGCTGAATGGTCCTCTGTCCATTCCTAGTACATTGCCGTTGGATGTTCACCAGAATATGAGACTCAATTGTGTGATGTAGACTACATAGACTATTCAAGGTTTTACAGGTTTTGGAACTTCTGTCTATTTGCAAAAATGGTCCATGGGATTTTGTTTTGGTCCTGTATCTTTTTAAAACTCCCGATTTCAGTTTCCATTTTGGAAGGCATTAAGCAACTATGGCTTTGATGGTCACAAAGATGTTTATGAATATTTCAGAGGTAAACTTCTAGCAATGGTGTGCACACTTGCAAAAACTATGTGCTTCACCCAGCTGTCTGTGTTTTCATGGCCAAGTGCTGTCTTTTTTTCTCTCCTTATTTTTCACTGTTACATTTACCATTTCTTCATTCTCTACATTGTGACTGCTCTGCCAATACCGGGCTGAAAAAGATGTCTTTCCTTTTCTATTGCATAATACTGCCATTTGATTTAGTCATGTTGAACAGAATGAGTTACAATGTTGAGAGTGCTAAGTCTGTTTTATTTTCTCAAGTTTTCAATCTGTTAACAAAATGTTAAAGATTTCCTGTGTTACACTCACATAACCAAAATAACAGAAATGCTTTACGTGGTAAGTCGGTGCCACTGTTTCACTAACAGCTAACTGTGTCGTGACAATATTATGACATGTCCTCTCCAGGTGTTTGGAAGGTGTTATGTTATCCTCTATGATATCCATTTAATTTCTTTATGTGCCTGTTTCTAATATGTTTTCTGTTTTTTTAATTGAGGACATTGTATGCAATCTGCACCACAAATGCCACTGATCGACACTTACTGTATGCTCCCTGAGACACAGATGTTCTGTCATCAGTTCAGATGATTGCAACCACATGTGTAGTGGCTTTATGGCTTTCCATAGAGTGAATTAGCAATCACACAAATCTAAAAATATTTTATTTTACAAAGTTTTAAGACCAGAGTTGTTTAGAGGAAATGTTATCATACTGAATAGATTTTTCTTATATATTTAATATCTTATTTTAATTAGAAATTATGTAACACCACAAAAGTCATATCCATATATATACATCTAATATTACAGACTAACACCATGCATTTACGTAAGCATTCCAAAGATAAAAGATGTGTGTTCATTTTACCATCAAATTGTATAAAACAGACTTAGGTACTAGTCCATTGTACTACGGTCTTAGTAGGAGAGTGAATGGGGGGAGGAGGTGGTCACTGGAGTATCTGGTTGTGACTTATGCCGGATTTTATTTTTGAAATGTTGGAACACAAAGAACAACTCATCAAGAACTGTATAAAGTATATTTCAATGGAATGTTCATGATCTATCTTTTTATATTTTGAAGAAAAAATAGAAACATATCAATAAAGTGTCATAATTGAACATATTTCTACTATTGAGACTTAAAATGTATGAATGTCAATGCGACCTAATGTGAACCAATCTCCATAGCAGCTTGAATGAACAACAGTCATGAGATGCTTTTTCAGAGATATTAAAATTGCTTAAAATCATTGAAACGAACTTAAAATAAATGAAAAAGTGACATCAACGGTGTGTCAGTCTGTTTAAGATTTCTAACTCATGTAATGTGTGCTCCTGTGCATACTGACTTATACTATAACCCTCAGTACTGACTGTCACAGTTAACACTGTTCATCGGCCTGTCAGGAACAGGGTACCACAATACAGTTGATTGATATAATCTGACTTGAAGTGAGGACACAATGAAAATCCAAAGTCCTGCAAGAAACTGAAGGATGACACATTAAATTTGTGACTGGAAGTTTAAGAACACGGTGTATTTTGATGCCAGCAGCATTTCCAAGAAGGTCCAACTGTCAGGTTTCTTTTTTAGCCAGTGACTTTTGCATTAAGCCATTTGCTTGTGATATAACGGTAATCTATAAATTTGAGATCAACTGTAACTGTGGCATGATATTTGAGAATGATGAGGTAATGTAAGTACAGTTTTCCTTACATTAGAGTACATGTTGATATCAGATAACTGTAACTTTAACTTGTAATATCCGTGAAACCCGACACCAACACGTTAGAGTCATACGGATATATAATATTTCTTTACTGATACAGAATAAGTCTGTTTTTGGACCAAATAAGAGTAAATAAATAAAATAGGAGGTGTGCACCAGGTGGACAATATGAAAATGAAATGTTAATTTTGAAGTTACTAAATCCGAATTACAAAAGACAGTAGTCGTCAAATAACATTTGAGGTAATAAACTCAAGAGAAGTTTTGCAAATCAAAGCAATTTAGGTAAAGTAATCACAGAAGTCCTAGCTAGTTAAAACTTAATATAATACCGGCTCAATGGGGCAAAGTTACTAAAAATCTCTGCACCGCTTTATGGAAAATGCTTTTATCCACGATGAAGGCACAGAACCATAAGCTCGTGTAAGGACCCCCTGCTAAGGAATAGTAAGGTGGACTGATGAGTCATCATTTTCTACTTATGGATACCCAGTGTCTATTTCACCCTGTTCTACATGGTGGTGAATCTGTGCTGGTATGTGCAGCCATCTCATGGGAGTCACAAGATCTCATGATTGCTCTGCATAGCTGCATGAAAGCTAAATGATTTAAAGCCATTTTACAGAGCCAGAAGCATCTACTTCTCTATCCCAGCATTCCCTCATCCAAGATTACGATGCGCAACGCTAAGAATATCACAACATTTTTATGGGGCATCATTTTGGGGTTGATTTCCACAAAGGTTGCACCCAAGGAACTAGTAGAAGTCCTTACTACATTTAATCAACACTTGATATTCATGATTTATTTTTCCAACACTCTGAGCTTGATAGGCCCATGTACACAAAAGGTCATTAGATTCATGGTATCTGAGTTATATAATTTTGATGACATGCCGTGTGATCAAATGGAAATGCAATGTAGCAACCCAGTGAGCAGTGTATTTATTCTGTGACTAAAGGCAGCTATGAGGAAATGTCAGCAGAGGCTTCTCAGTTACTTCTCCTTTGTGCCAAAACATTACCTCCCTCTGGTGGTAATACACAGTAGTGTCCTTTTTGGTAGATTAGTCTTTGTTTACTTAAAAACATTTTGAAACTCCAGCCTTCAATTAAATGAAAAACACCCCCAAAAATAACAAAAACATTAAAATATTTTTTTCAAGGGCAAACTCTTTCCTGTGTCTGTTTTTGTACAGTTGTATCATTAAATGTAACTTGAATCATATTTTCCCAGTAGCCTGTTTTAGTACAGTATTTCTCATACCTTGTCTCTCTAAGGCTAATGGGAAACATGTTTGCCTGAACCTAAACCACATTTGTAGCATATCATTTTGTTCCTGTACATACTAAACCAACATTTAGTTTACATGATCCACAGTACACTAGTGTCCTCCAAGGTTCAGTTTGCTGTTTTTCCTGCTGAAGCATGCTGTGAGGGGATGAGCCAACATATTCAGAGAGTGGCGTGGGCTGATCAGGATTTGGAGGTGGAAGCAGACAAGTTAAACTTGAAGCATCATCATCTTTAAAAAGATGGGGGAAATGTGACAGAGCTAAATAGGACTTGCATTAGCTAAATAATGATTATTCTGCTGCAAATAACAAAAAGGTGAGCCTATTTATCCAATCATAAATTCATGTCATTACTGCTAATCATTTTTGACTTTGTGACAAATCTACATACCCATGATGCACAAATATACTATTTTGTAAATCTTGACAACAGCTTCTAATATACAAATACTACTCTAACTATTTTATGCATCACCTTCCATTACTGCCTTATAACCATTCTCTGGATTACAATTTACTGCACAGCAAGACAAATTGCTACCCAATGCCAACATTACAGCTAGGCTATACTTACAATACTACAACTGTAAAAACACAGTTTTACTGAATACATGACAAAGTTGGTAGCTAACACACACAGGCTTTCTGTTTCCTTTCAACAAATAACACACAAATTATTATCAAAATTTATTGAAACATCAGTACTTACATAGACTGAAGGAGGTTGTAGTAGCCTTGAAAACATATGACACAGACATGCTGTTGTTTGATGGTTTACAATGAAACCAAAGAACACTCAGATACTAACACTATCAAACTCTGCCACTTTGCACAAGCTTGACAGCTAGAGTGTAATGCTATCTAGTAAAAAAAAAGTTAAAAAACAAGCCAACACAGCAAGTTTTTTTCACAAGTACATGCAGGTTAGTTGAGTGGTGGTGCTCCATTGGACAAAAAGGTTGTCAATCAAGTCAGTGACTTACCTGGTTATTGGCTACTTTTACATGGTTGCTTGTTGGAGATGATACACCAGAACATGGAGGCAAAAAAAATCACTGAATCTGCATCTGGTTCAGATTGTACCTGGCTTCAAAATGAGGGTACTGTTTAAAATATTATATTTAGCCTATATTGATTATTATATATATTATGATATATATTATAATTATTATTAGATGGGTTAGATATAGTTTGAAGGCCAAATAATTCAAGAGAGTTGAAAAACATACTTTTTTGTTATTCCTTCTACAGTAAATAATGTTCTATTATTAATTCTTATATAGTGCAATTTACGGATGTGATTAATCACATTTTATGTAAATTGCTTTTTTGATGTGATGAGCCAAATGGTAGAAAATTGAATGGTAAATTAATTACACAACGACAGGATCTAAATGCTCATTTTGCATGCTTGTGGTTTATGAGGTGATAAGTTTGCCACTGCCTTTTAGACGATGGCAGACAGACAATCTCATTACCAACTTACTTTACATGTAAACAGACACAGAGTCAGTTCTAAACAAAAAGGAAGTAATTTCCAACATATTTGTGTCTCATACTGTGCAAGTTATGCAAACATCTTGAATTTTCTAATGCAATGTCATGCATGAACAACCCATGTTATTGTCCACATAAATTATAGTCTTAGGAAATATAAAAAATGCAAGAAAAAGGCATTTTTTTTATGACCAAAAATCATACCAGTATAAATCCCACATAACAGTTCAAAACATTGTCAACTGAGCAAAATATATAATATATACTATAGCAAAATTAGCAATTAAACAACATTAAATGCAAATAACTAAACTAATTCTAAATAATAATAATAATAAAATAATATATATATTATTATTAATATGATTAATGAGGTTAATGAGGAGCAGTGAGAGACCTCTGTCAGTCAGAGTACCATGCTTGTTAGAGAGGGTAACACCATGCGGTGCCAGGCAGAGGTGACATTTGATAGGGAGGTTGAAGGTTGTCTTGCCTCATAGCTAAAATGGAGGGAAAGGACAGGGAGGGGTTGGAGAGGTCTAGCAGAGATTGAATTTCAACAGGACAGCATTCCCAAAAAATTTGAAGACCGACAACGTGAGGCAGCAAGGGACAGGACAAGATCGTGGACGCTCCCTGAGCAAACAACTGTAAGCACAGTTTATGTATGACCTGGTCAGTGAATTTAGCTGGACTGCCAGTGGATTGAAGGTATACCAAACAAGCCAAACAAGGACTTTGTGTATATAACAGACGGACATGATGACAGAGAGAAAGACGGACAACTTGATGAGCAACAGGAGACGAACAATGTGATTTTTCATCCTGCCATTAGTTTCTGTCAGCAGCTGTTTTTACACTTAGTGAGTAAAAGCGTTCACCTCACTATCTGGGTACTAACATTGCTTGTTGTTTGTATTTTTTAAATCACATTTCACCTTTTAAATAAAATGATTGAGTAACATTTAAAATACATCTTAGCTACTTTTTGTGTGTGATTAACTGTGTTGAAAATGTTAACTATACAAAACAGACACTTCTCAGCGTCTCACCATCAGCCATTTTCTTCTATTACCACCTATAATGCTTATCGACTGAAAACCAAATCCACTGATGGAACTATCACTCTGGTTTCAGACAGGGTTTGCTTTTAAGCCAGTTGTTCTACAAATTCTCAGGAGACTGGTTTGTTGCATTCCTGGCCTGGCATACACACAGGGATGGACAGCAGTGACCCACATGAAGACGAAAGAGGAGGCAGAAGGAAAGATAGCGATGGAGAGAATGATAAGCAGCTGAAGAACCAGCTCAACAGTGAGGAAAAAGGAGAGAAGGAGATCAAAGAGAATGACAAAGAGAAGAAGAAAGAGAGCCGGCGTTCTGGGTCTCTGTGGAGAAATGGATGGGCGCTGAGTGAAAGACTGGCCATCAATGTCTCTGGGATGCGTTATGAAACTCAGCTTCGCACCTTAGCCCAATTCCCTGATTCCTTGCTTGGGGACCCCAGAAGGAGGTCACGATACTTTGACCCGCTTCGAAATGAGCTCTTCCTGGACCGCAATCGCGCCTGCTTTGATGCCATTCTGTATTTTTACCAGTCGGGCGGGAGGCTTCGGAGACCTGCAAACATACCCCTGGACATCTTCATGGATGAGCTGATGTTCTATGAACTGGGAGAGGAGATCATGAACCGCTTCAAGGAAGACGAAGGTTTTCCAAAAGAGGAGGAGACCCCGCTGCCAGCCAATGCAATCCAGAAAAGACTG